TAATAAAATATATAATGAAAAATAATAACACTTAAATAAAATACCTTTTCATTTATTGCACGATCTACAGCCAAGATCCGCAGTTGATACAGATACTTTCGTTCGTAATCCAAAGAACCCACTAAGCGTATGACGCCCTTGCCATTGACGGTCGATATACTGAAAACGTTGTTATCGCCGTCCAGTTCCTGAAGGTAATACACCACTTGACCATGAGCACCCAAATCGGCGTCGGTAGCTTCCACCGTTGTTAAAATACCCGGGCGTGAATCCTCCCGAAGAGTTAACGAGGTAGGATGTGGACGGAAAATTGGTACATTGTCGTTAATGTCCTCGACCAGAAGCAGCAGACTTTGCGTGATAAAATTTCCCTCTCCCAATCTTCCATCCGTTAATGTTAACACGAGTGCATATTCATCTCTTGTCTGATAAAAATAACATTAAAATTAAATTAAGTTTGCTTTAGACGATTTATAATTTGTATCAGAATTTAGGAAGAATTCTATTTATAATTTTATATTTTTAATTTTTGTCGTGTAATAAAATACATATAATATTTAAAGAATTAAAATATATGTACATAAAATTTATATTGAAATACATAAATATGCCAAAACATATAAAATTATATAGAATTCAAATACGAGTATCATCGACGATAGAAAGTTAACAACAAACGTATTATTTTACGCGTGCACTAATGACGCTACAAATAATATCTTTACGAAGTGGATCCTCATAAAGATGATGAGTAAATTACATTTGTCTCCGCTGATACTTAAATTTCTCTTTAATGGTTTGTTGGACTGTAATATTGAAGTCATAATCCGAAGACAAGGTAAATCGCTCGTGCAAAACAGAAATAACAGTGGGACAACATAAGAATTATTGCGGTATCTCTTCCTGTCTTAGCTTTGTTTCTGTAGTTATGTTGTTTAATAGCTCTTCCTTTGATGATTTATGACTATTATTAAGACGAACAATTGTTAAGTTTTTACTTTGCGATATTTGAAGTAAAATTTAAAAAATATTTTTTAATAACTCTCTCACAATCTTAGTAATAACTTAAAAATTATTTGAAAGAATGAGATTACCTCTCTGTCCAGTAACTTATGTAAATAAATGTTGGCTTCATTAAGACCGAAATTTTCGACTTGAATCACGTCACTACCAGGCTGTTCTCGAACGCCAAATGTCAATATATCATTATCTGGATCGATACCTTTGAGCTTGTAAATTAGGCTACCTGTAAGTAATATTTTTATATATTTATAAGTTTTATTTATGTACAATAAAAATGAAAAATATAATGGTCTTATAGAAGAAAATAATGAGAAGTATTTTTGTAATTGCTATCTTTTTAAAGCAATAGAAGATATCTAAATTTTATAACTCTTCCTTAGATATTATCTAAATACACATATTTATAAGAAAGAATTGAGAACGAAAGACGAATCATAAAGAACACATTAATTTTCGCAAGCTTATTCGCATGTTAAAAAACGGCAATGGTTTATACAATGGTGCTTAAATTGGCGTATTAACTAGTAATAAAAAGTTTTGTGATCCATAATCAACCAGCACAAGTATGTATAGAAGGTGTTCTCGTGTTCTTTCATTATAGATAAATTGATCATAAATTTTCATTTGACTGTTTACTTAGTAAAAACTATATAGTCATATATTAAAACTTGCTTATTAAAAATTTATATTCGACTGATATATCCACTCTTTAAGGAGATATCCTAAAATGACAGAAATGTCGATATTACAAATTAGAAAGAGAATATTCTGATAGGCTGTACAGATTGCAAAATTCTTTTACAATTAAAATACAAAAAAAGGTGCAAAATGGTCGATTTAAGAAAATCAAAAAAATTGTCTTATTAAAAATTTAATAGTCACTTTAATATTCACAACTAAATAATTTTCGATTTTCTCGTTAAATTAATCGTGCATCTTGCATCTTTTTTTGTACAGTCAATTTGGAGTACTATCCAACTTGTAATATCAGTAATTCTATAACTTAAGATCTCCTTAAGAGAATAGTATAATCTTTTTTTAAAATGATTATTTATTATTCTTACCAATCGGAGTTTCGGACTCTTCCTTTAATCTAAGGACAATTTCTGTTTGTCCGTCTATGAGAAATCTAGGCGGATTGTTTCTAGCTGAACAATACGTTAACAAATATCCAAATATTAAGTATAATTCTATTTTAAATCGGCTTCTTTTACATGATCGTAATAACCAGGAAGACGATCTCGTTTGCTTATCCGACGTCATCTTGATCGAACGATATTTATAATCGACATGTTCCTGCTCATAGAATCTTTCACTTCTTAATATTCTGAAATCAATATATAAACATTAATTTATCATAAAAAATACTGATATAAATAAATAACAAATTAGTGAGTAAAAATATAAATAATAAAAATATAAATATAAGAATTATAAATAAATTCTATATATTAATAAATTCTAAATATAGAGTTTAATACATTTTTAAAAGAATAATGTATTGAACAATTAAATAGAAATTATTAAATTGATTGAAAGCATTAATGTATATAATAATGTAGACTATAATAATGTACAGTAGACTAAAGAGCGATATATTATCATCGCTGTAGATACACACATTTAGAAGATATCACATTATATATTTCTAGTATTTTTATCGCGTAATTTTTGTGTATAATTTACAAACTTTATGCGTTTTATTTGCATACACATATGTAGTCTATTTACTTGCTGCATTTAGTTTGATAACTGGTATATTCACGCTGAGCGGTTGCTTTCTCCTCGGTAAAACGTCGTCTTGATGCAATGTCAAGAGTATCTCATCGCGAATGATCACGGAGATTAAACTGGAGTGAAAGCTTACCGGAAGAAACGTTTTCTCACGGCTCTTAAACTGTGCGGTACGCGATAATTAAAAGAATGCGTCTCCCGACAAAACCTACTAGTACTCATTATGCAAGATATATTTCATTGCTCGATTCTTCTAGGATCTTACGAAGCGATGATATAATATCGCATTCTTGGGAAAGAAAGTGTGTTACGGTTCAAAACGAGCTGCAACCCCGATTATCAATAAAAGATGTGTTTTCCATGAAATAAATTTAAATTGCATTTGAATAGATCAATTTTAAATAAACTTAATTTTAATATAATTTTAATATAAAAAGTTTCGCAAAAGGTGTATAATTTAAAAAATTTAAAAATTATTAAAAATAACGATTTTCTATAAAGGTAAATTAATTTAAAATTGTTTAAGAAATTCATACATTATAAATATTCGATAATTGTTTAATAATACGTAACACAGAGATACACGGGAGAAGCATTCATTGACCCGTGTTCATGTAAGAATTCTTCTTTTAGTTTGACACTTAAGGAACACTGAGTGAACACACCGAACGGTGCTCTTCTTGCCAACAGAGTGTATCGGCCACGCTCTTGACTTTTAAGATTCTGCTAAATAACAGGCTAGTGCGAAGCTTCTCGATGTGCGGATACCCGTGTATTCAAATATGTACGATGTATACGTGCGCTATCTGATTTCCAGCGAATAAAGACTGTAGTTACACAGGAAACGAATCTCTTCTTATTCCTGATGAGTATTGATAAGAATTGTACCGAACAACATGATTTTCATTGACGATAATGTAAACCAGGCCTTTCCGGCTACAAATAATTTTTACGTTTTTTATTTTCAAAATGATTACTCTGAAGCATGACATTGTGATTTCTATATACTTTTTTTTATTTATAGTGTACAATAAATAATAAACTAGTATGTGTATGTATATACAGTTTCCTTCAAATAAATCTCTAGAATATTATTCTACGTATTTTTACTGCAAGGATTCTTTGCTGTTGAGAGTTATCAAATGTAATTAATTATATATAATGATTCATCTAATCTTTTATCCATAATACTTGAATGTGTAAAGTTCGAATGCATAGCATGAAGAAGATTGCGTGACTAAAATTTTCTCCGGCTTCTTTACAACTTCACCTTCGCGCATCGTAAAATTCTTCGATAAGATTGATCGATAGAACGCTTTAAATTCAGAATAATTTTATTCTCTTCGACAATCGTCGATTTTTACTTTCAACACAAGCTATTCGTACAACAGCAGATTCATACGACTCGTGATTGACCGAATAGAGCAACTTGTATATTATATCTAAAGGAAGTTTCCTCTATGCATGCTGGTTCGAATAAAGGGGCAATAAGGTCATGTTTCTAATGGGGGGCTGTCCCGAGGTACGTGACGTCATTTCCTACACCTGCCATGCATGCTTCCGAATGATAACACCGTCCGGGATATTGACATACACCTATAATACTGTCTGTTGCCTGGCCAACCCTATACAGAATTTCCTTGCGTGACGGGCTCCCTCACACCATGAACATATGTGTAAAGGATCTTGGCGGATGCGAATCCGTCGGTTGTCTGTGATATCGATACGTATTTTTTTCACGACGCTGTAAAATTAAGATAGGATAATTATGAAGAAGAAGCAAAGAGAATAATAATTTTTGAAATAAATCGTAATCATTTCGCGTAAACTTTTCACTTTTTTAATTTAAATGTTTTGATTCTAATTAAGAGAAAGTACATTATTTTAAACAAATTACTAAACTTTCCATTATTTTAATTAACGTTATTTGCGTGGATCCGACAAATTAACTTCTCGAAAAATGTATGACGCAGAAATTGTTAGCCATTCGACAATTTTGCCAGCAAAAATTCGCCGAGTTCCGAAGTTCCCTTTGTTGGTCTGCGGTTACATCTGGTGTTACTACAATAAACAGATGCTACTGTGCGAACGAAGTACATAAGCAAAATGAATTTCCTTTTCACTGTGGCACGATGAAATGTTACCCGTGGGAGTGAAATTAATGGCGTCTTATCTCATCATACAAATAATTATGATGAGATACAATGGCGTTGTGGCCGATTATTTAACGAAGAAATATAATTTCATAACACATCATAAAGAGGATACATAAGCCGAGTTGAAGCGTGATTGCATTCTTGCGTCATGAACATTTGCGTTTAATATAATTAATATGTCGTCATAAGGAAATTTGGGTCAGTGCTAACAATTGCCGATCAGTATCCAGTGGTTAGCTTTGCTTCAACATTTAATTTTAATTCCGTAATAAACGGAAGTCATGGCATATTAAAAAAAAGGTGAATCTCACGTAGGAGAAATATGTAAATATATTTAAATATGTTACAAATAATATGTTATTAAATTGTTATTAAATTATTATTAAATGTTATAAAATTTATTTTAATTTAGATCTTTTTTTCATTCATTTCCTTACAAGAAATACTTTCTTAAATTAATTTTTATTTAATTTACAAAAAATGTTGCTTTCATTTATTTAGAATCTATCAATCAAAATTTTGTAATAGAAATCTATTAGAAATCTATATTTCATTTTCATCCATTCATGTTTCATTTAGTACAGAGGTAGTTTAAACTTCAATTTCTACTTCAACCGCGAGAGAGAGAGAGAGAGAGAGAGAGAGAGAGACCTTCACTCTTTACTGAAGTTTGTTGAAAATTGATTGTTATAACAAGTATAACGAAACGTCTTTCTTTAAGGATTACAAGGCCAGTCAAAGAGTGGCTGACAATACCATTGATTCCATGAATTAAACTTTCAGTGGTGGTGTCAGATAAGCATTAATTGCACGTCAGATACGTGAGATTCCACACCGGCATAATTCGTACCAGGATGTCGACTGTGATGGACGTGCTGTCTGTCAATGTCACGTTTTAAAAGTTCCCCGGAACTTTCTAAAAAATTGCGACCCGCTGCCTTTCCACGGCCAATCAAATCCAATAAAAAGGGACAATTTTTTATTAAAATGTAAAAAGTAGAAATGAAGTAGAAATGAAGAGATAATTATAGATTTTATACCAAATTTTTTAATCCTGCAAATCGATCGACTAATTTACTCGTAAAATTTTATCGTCAGAAATATTAACAAATTATAACGTGGTAATTTAAATATATTCTATTGCTAATTATTAAAAAGTATTCAGTATATAGTTTCAACATACTCGTTAATAATAAAAAATATGAAAATCTAAATGCAGAACAAAAGCTTAGATCAGTTTTATGATTATGAATACAAATATTATATTAGTGTTCGAAAGTATTTTGTACTCACCAGAATTTTTAATGATGTATAATACAATGACGGGAATAGATTTGTTTTGTATGTCTCAGTGATGAAAACAAATGTTTTTATTCACACAATTGTCTTATTGTAAATGCAGCTTTTAACACATTGTCGATGCTAGCGTTAGCGTGATTGCGAAGCATGCAAAATGTATTTATACGTCCAACTGTGCCAGTAAACTCTATTCAGGAATTAAATCGAATTGATCAATTTATTATCGCTCTTCAATTGTTTTTTAATTTTTTCCACACTACATTGTCGAATTGGTATATTTCTTTTCAGTTCATTATCCATTTAATAAATTGAGTAAATGTAATTGAATAATTGCACGTAATATAATATAATAAGAATCGACGAGTGTATTATAATTTAATTATCAAATTACTGTCACTGTAATTAAAAATCTAAATTCTTCTTTTTCACTCATTGTGTTTAAAACTCACTCAAGTTTGTTTTCCGCCATTAATCGAAAACGAAAATTCGCACAATTTAATTCATTGAATAAAACTCTCTTTTAAACTCTTTTTAAATCGTAAATAGCACTTTTGTTCCTAGATTTAATGCAGGCAAAGTCGAAGTAAACTCGAAAATCGAATTCTGTTCACGATTGCGAGATTAAGATGATGACAAACAAATTTGCATAGAATTGTGTCATCGCCCGATCGGCCATGAGCGCGGCGCTCACCTGTTCAAGTGAGCTTACGATAGTAAACTGAAGGTACGGACGAAGCCAGCGTGGTTCCCGTCGGGAGAGCGTAGATCGTTGCCTGGCATTCGTTCTGTGGCGTGAGCACTGACCGTGCACAGAACACCACAAAACGTACGGTTGTTCCAAGTTAAATTCAGCCCGTCGTGCTCCTCGAGGCGTGCACGAGGGGGCTTTCCCACTTCGTCACAACCTCCGGTCACCTGTGCCACCTCACCGTCCGTAGGGGAAGATACTTATATTTTATAGAGAATAGCGTGGGCCGCCTAGGCCCACCGGTTGTTAATAGCAAAGAAACGGTAACACGATTATTAACGCCATGATATAATCTTTCATATCAGATATAAATGCTTCGAAGTTGA